CCCCCCTCCGTAGACCAAAGGTGACCCCGCCTCAGCAGGTCAGAGAGCCCCGCCTTCCTGGCCGCTCATTGGGCTGGTTCTGTCCCTTCCCAGCGGCCCCTCCATCGTTCCCTTCAGCACTGCCTTGGGCTCCTGCTCGCGCACAGTCCCCCACACCTGGCTGGCTTCTGTCCAGTGGGGTCCCTCCCTCTAACCTCTGCTACTAGAGCCAGTGACAGCTGTGCCACCACTGCCTGGTTGCAGCTTCCTCACTTGGCTTTGGTGGAGCATTAGGGGACGTCCGGACCTCCACCCCCACCTCCCGGTTCTAGGACCCGCAACACGCTGGGGTGGCTGCCCCTCCTTGGAGACCCAGCAATTGTGGGCCACTGGTCCCAATCCCCTGCTTGCAGGATTTCAAGTTGCCTCCCACTTGTCTTGGGAGAGGGTGACTGGGCCCAAGGACAGGTAACACTAAACTACAATAGAATTTTACGTAAAGACTGAATGTGGAATCTGAGGCATATGTGGGGATTTAAATTAATTTAGATTAAAACAGCCATGCACCAGACAACTCAGACAACAGGAGGAGCAGTGCCGCCTCTGGATAAATAAGGTGAGGACAGTGACCCCTGGGAGATTCTTGTGACAAACATGACAATTAGTGCAGACGGCAACAGCCATGGGAAGAGATGTGTAGTGACAGGGAAACGGGACAGCCCACACACAGATGTGTGAGTACCAGACTGAGTCATATCACAGTCAGGAACATACAGAAAGAGGGAGAATCCACATAGCTCTGACAGCCTTGGTGGCCCTGACTCTGGGAAGGCAGAGCTGCCACACAGGAGGCTGTGGAAAGTGAAGCCGGGAGCTCAGGCATGGGACACAGGACCTTTGACTCTTTGCAAAGGCTGGAGCTCGCTGCCCACCCAGAAGCAAAGTGGCCCGAGAATATGCTGGTGCCACAGCCCTGCAGGATAGGTTAAAGGGTGACAAGGATCCAGGTGAGGGCCTGACTCAGTCCTGAACACAGTGGGGTGGCACTAAGAGAACGTGGGGTACAGGGAAAAAAGCAAAGCCAGTCCCACGTCCCTGAAGCTGTGCCCTCCCATGGTCACTGCTGGTCATCTGAGCTGGTGAGGGACACAGCCAACGTGTATACTTTCGGGGCCTCAGCACACCCCAGATGAGTAGGGACGCAGGCGAGCTCAAGAGGGAATTGACAGCATCTGGTAGAAACTCGCTAGATGGGCCCACCAAGCAGCGGGATGGGGGCGTCATCAGGTGTGGTGCCGTAAGGGTCACCAAAGGGTGTCGACTTCACCCACTAAAACGGCCACCGTCAAAAAGACAGAAAACACAGTTGGCGAGGACATGGAGAGATCGGAACCCTGTGCACTGCTGGGGGGAATGTAAAACGGTGCAGTTGCTGTCAAAGATAGCATGGGGTTTTCCTCAGAACATTCGACATACAGCTACCACCCAGTTCAGCAATTCGCGTCTGCGTACTTATCCAGAACTGGAAGCTGGGTCTTCAACAGATGGTTGTGCACCCATGTTCACAGCAGCGTGGTTCACAGCTGCCAAGAGGCAGAAGAAACCCAAGTGTCCGTACACACACTGGAGTATTATTCAGCCTTAGGAAGGAAGGAAATTCTGACGCCGCAGCACAGATGGACCTGGAGGACATTATGCTCAGTGCAATAAACCAAGTCACAAAAGGACAAGTACTGTGCGATTCCACTTACACGAGGTCCCTAGAGGAGTCATGTTCACAGAAACAGTGGAATGATGGTTCCCAGGGGCTGGGGAGTTAGTGTCTAATGGGGACATAGTTTCAGTTTGGGAATATGAATTCTGGGGATGGATGGTGATGACAATTGCACGACGGTGTGAATGTCCTTACTG